ATGCAAGAAGACTGAAATAATCCCTTGTAACCTATCAGACCACTATGGCCTTAAACTAGACCACAAAAACAACAGAAATAACAAAAAGAATAAGAGCTAGAGAAGTTAAGCAACTTTCCCAAAGCTACACACCTCTTGGTAGGTCGACCAGATAGAATCTCAGATCTGTTTGGCTTCTAGTGGCCTGTTTCCTCTGTAACACACTGCCTGGAGATGGAATGAGTAGTCTTTATATGCTAATGTGCTTCATGGTACTGGGATAAATTAAAGCAAGCTGAGCTGGTACACATAATTTCTGACAATCCATTCAGATACCTCTTGCAATAAATTTTCTAACTAAAACTCATTACTCTGTCTTCTAGAATGTCTATTGTGTTCACAAGTAGAATGACGTTTTTGGCTCAGCCACCATTCTCAGCAAATGTAACTGAAGATATAGTGCAATGAAAGTTAGAGGATCACATCCACATTCTCTCAAAATTCATCATCTTAACACTGTGTGATCCTTCCATGAGATACTGTGAGATCCTTCCATAAGAATACACAGTTTTTCTATTGGAGGAATTTCATTTGTTTATGTTTTTTTTTTTTTTTTTTTTTTATCAGAGTAAAGTGAACACACTACCAAATGAATATCCTCTGAGGCAGCTCTCAGCCAGGGATTGAAAATGTATACAAATATTGCCAGATATATCTGGGAACACAAAACGAGTCACTGTTGAGAATGGTTCCTATAAGGTTGAGGTGTACATAGTAAATGTTTGTGGAGGGGTGTAGAATGTGATGAGGCAGCACTGGGGTGGGCTGTGGGAGAGATTCACAGTTGAGCTGCAGACTTTAGTGGTAGGGACAGCTGCAGTGAAGAGGAGTGTGTGTGTGTGTGTGTGTGTGTGTGCGTGTGTGTGTGTGTGTGTGTTGTACTGAAGGAGAAAAATGATCCAACCTTGTCTCATAACAGTGCCTAGTCAGGCAGCCGTTGTCTAAAATACATTCATTCACAGGTTAGAGCTAAACTCTGAATCCTTCATAGTTCCTTTTACAAAATGAGAAATACACAGAGACAGTTTTGCTGTTTGTGCACCATCAGCTTTTCAGGTAAGTTTAGTTTGGATGACAAGTCCTTAAGCAGCCATTTCACAGCTTTTCAGGTTCTGACTTGCTAGGAATACTTTGACATTTATTTCCTCATATTGGAGCTATTATAAAATCAGGCTGGAGCCAGGCATAGTGGCATATGCCTTTAATACCAGTATCCTGGGAGACAGAGGCAGGTGGATCACTGTGAGTTCAAAGCCAGCCTGGTCTACAAAAGGAGTCCAGCACAGCCGAGAAACCCTGTCTTGAACCTCACCTCCCCCCCCCCCCAAAAAAAAAAAAGAAAAATCAGGCTGGGTGGTGGTGGTGCAAACCTGTAAACCCAGCACTGGGGAGGCCGAGCGAGGCAGGTAGATCTCTGAGTTTAAGGCTAACCTGATCTACAGAGCTAGTTCCATTACAACCATGGATACACAGAGAAATGCTGTCTCAAAAAAAAAAGAAAGAGAGAGAGAGAGAGAGAGAGAGAGAGAGAGA